TAGACAGGGCCTTGGTGAGACCTCGCACCTGGATCCTTACATGAGGCCCCTACCGCCCACGACTCCCTCCTTCCAGCTTTTCAGCTTCCCATGTTCCATTTCCTCAACCCCCTCTTTAAAAACTCCTCAGTAAATCTGCGACTTTGAGATGACTTTAGTCTGGCCCTTCTCCAGGGTTACTGGAGAGATGGGTTAGCCTAACATGTCTCCTCAGGCCACTGGTATTCCTAAATAAAAGCCGACTTCCATGTTCAACAGCATTCGACTTTTGGGTTGTATGTTTTTGAAAGGGGGCAAGCAGCTGAACCTGTAACATTTTCTCTTCCCTGTGCCCTCTCTCCTTTCAAGAAACACAGTTGTCAAGGATTAAGTAACTAAAAAATTAAGTAAAAATACAGGGAATCTCCTGTTTGCATGGGGCAAGGGTTAGTCTCAGGATCCCTTTATACTCCTAAAAATTATTGAGGATCCTCTCCTCCACTTCCCTCTCCGTTGACCAGAGCTGACCTCAGCATAGAAACATGAGCTTGTAGTGTGATGTTTTTCAAACTGCAAACTGTAATTTTAGTAGTCATTGTATTAGTTCCCTGAGTCTGCCCTAACAAATTACCACAAAATTGGAGGCTTAAAGCAACAGAAATTTATTATCTGGTAGTTCTGGAGGGTAGAGATCAAAAATCAAGGTGTCAGCAGGGCTGCACTCCCTCCAAAGGCTGTAGGGGACAGTCCATTCTTTGCCTCTATCAGCTTCTGGTGGCTGTAGATGTTCATTGGCTTGTTGGCTGCATCACTCCAGTCTGCCTCAGTAGTTACATCACTTTCTCTTCTGTCTAATCCTGTCCTGTGTCTCAAATCTGCTTCTGCTTTTCTCTTATAAAGGACCTGTGTCACTGGATTTAGGTCCCGCTCAGATAATCCAGGATGATCTTTTCATTTGAAGTTCCTTAATTACGTCTGCAAAGACTCTTTTCCCAAATAAAAAAGTCACAAATTCTGGGGATTAGGACGAGAGCATATCTTTTGGGGGCCACCATTCAAGTCATTACAGTAATAAAAACATATTGGTGCACTGAGACAAACTTTTTAATGAATAGGACAGAAAGTCTGCAAAGACTCTTTTCCCAAATAAAAAAGTCACAAATTCTGGGGATTAGGACGAGAGCATATCTTTTGGGGGCCACCATTCAAGCCATTACAGTAATAAAAACATATTGGTGCACTGAGACAAACTTTTTAATGAATAGGACAGAAAAAATATCAGTGCATTAGTCAGAGAAAAAAATATTTAGTGAATTTTTTTTTTTTTTTTTAAAGATGACCGGTAAGGGGATCTTAACCCTTGGCTTGGTGTT